GCCAAGGCGCTGGCCCATCCAGAATCACTAGTTGCTTTCAACACGAACAACTGGCCCATTGCTGACGCGCGCAAAGCGCAACAAGCGGGGGGGTTGAACGCACGCAGCCTCGGAATGAGGACCCTGCAGCTGCCCTTGTTTCTCGCACATTTCCAGCGCATCCGGGCTCAATGCCAGTTGGAAAGCGCAGCCATGACGGTTGCAACAACCAGCAATACACTTGGCCACCCAAGAAAAAGAAATGCTGCCCAGGCCAAACGACTTGCGATGAGAATGCAGAACCTGGGTTCACTGTTCTAGCCGAGCCCGTTTGAGTAACGGGTACTTGGCCCAGCACCTGCGGCACACTGATTCCACCTCGTCAAGGCCAGACCCTCGTGCAAAGGCGTCAGTGTCAAATGGCAAATCCTGACACCATGGGAGCAAGCGATTGCCACGCACGCCACAGACTAAGTGCTTCGGACCTCGCTGTTGCTGCATGAACCAAGCAACATCTTGACAAGCTTCCACAGAGTCTTCACTGGAATCTGCATCTGAATCCGACGCAGAAGAGGGAACCGGAGAAGTTGCCGGCGTCGGCTTTGAGGCAGCCTGGAGCACGCAGTTGCCACCCCAGGCCGCAGACCGCAAAACCGCTTGCGCGCGCTCAAGCGGCAAACCCGACATCCGCACATCATTCCACTCCAGAGTACCTCCCTTGTGCGTCTGATGAATCAGGTGAAGGCGGGCCAGCACCAAGGCCTTCACATACCCGGAAGTCAAGATTTTATCGTGGGCATAGTGCTGACACATCGGCATGGCAGCGACACTACGCAGCTGCCTGGCCTCACCCACTGCGGTGGGAAGTTCTACCCAGCCACCAATTGCTTGCCGAGCCGGCACATCCAGCATCATCACCTCAGCCGCGGTGGGAAGAAAGCGCCTCAATGAGTAGCTACTGAAGTCTGACGCCTCATCTGCCGGAACCCCTGCCGCACGCAAAACCGACTGCAGCAGAGGGCCAAACTTTGCCAGCGGCATGGGTCGCGCAATGCGTGGAGATCCCGCTTGTAATGGCTGGCCAGGCTTGACTTCAAAGTCGCACACCACGAAAGTTGGTTCCCGACCGAGCTGCATCCTGAGATCTGCCAGGTCTTGCAAAACGATCTCAGCCACATTAACATCTGCTGCCACATGCGTTGGCATTGCCCATTGGAAAGGAGGCCGTGTGCCTTGCACGCGCCTCTTGCCCTGACTGCAAGTGCCCCTTAAGAACTGCTGGTCCAAGCACAAGCCTCCTGATCTCTGCAGATGAGCAAATCGAAGGCATGCTCCCAACATCACCAGAACACTGGCGCAAAACGAAGCTACAGAGCCTGAGCTGGACACGACCGCCCGAAGCAAAGCGAAGAAGGCTGTCAAGGGAATCGGTTTTCGCTGCTGTGCTATATGACTCGGGTCAGGCACCGCCCAATGAGACACGAGCGCGTCAGAAACCGGAAGAGGCAGGCCTGCGTGATCCCTCTACCATTTCAGTGCTGCAACACCCTGAAGCGGCTGTGGGACCCCCGCAACTGACATGATGCAGAAACTGGCTCAGAACTAGCGGAGTGGGCTCCCAATATGGCATGTCTGCCGGAGCATGCGCAAGATGGAATGCCACCCATCTCTTAAAGGCTGCCGTCTGCGCCTGTAAACGTTCGGTAGGCACATTCTGAAACTTGCGGCCAAACAGGGGACGCGCCGCTGCTGGGTTCTGACACAAGTCCGGCCCGAACTTGACATTTCGCGAGCCTGCAGCAACAGCCACTTGAAAAATTGCATCCAATATTCGCTGCCTCTTATCAACTGGCACAGCTACTTGCGCAGGCAGCTGCTGGGCAAGAAACTTCACTTTGCAAGGCCGTGGCAGAAGAGAAGGCGGTGGGTACAAGCGCTTCTTAGGTCTGGCAGCGATTGCCGGCGGCGACCCCGCGCCTGCTTGTCGTGGCAGCTGCGCGGCGTGGACGCCGCTGGCTACAGACGACTCCTGCAACGACCTGTCAAAGACCGCATCAGCTAGCCTCCAAGCCGCGGTCACAAGCCTGACAACCTCCACTTCGCTGAAATGATCAAAGATGTCAGCTTCACCGCTGAAAAAAACAAGCAAGGTCAGCGGTGTCCACGATGCCTAAACGGCGCAACTGCGCCAACGCATCATCTGTCAGCAGTGCCCTCACTGATGGATGCAAATCCTCCATGAGCATGGAAACTACATGAGAGGACAAATGATGAAACTGAGTACAACAAAGATGCCGTAGCCTGCTCAAGCCGTAATGGCTGACAGTCAAAAATTGAGCAGCTGGTTTCTACCTGTGCATGGACCCTACCCAACCAACCATGCTCCTGCACTCTGTCAAAACATGCCATGATTCGCCGTCGTATCGTCCTTACGCCATTGCTTTCGCGTACCTTACGCGACCCACCTTTTGTCTCACGCGACGCATAAGCTTCAAGTACGACCCCTACGCCTGGTTCTCCACGTGCCATTACTGGAAAGGCGGCTTGCGCAATACGCTTCCTTTTCAAGTGTAGCTTTGACAACTGCAAATCGCAAATACAAGTGTTCAGTACACGTTCAGTACACGAAGTAGACAGCAGGCAAGAGCTACTATGGGATGCTACTCCGCGCGCCTTTTGCGTTGCCTTACGCGCCGAATACAGGCATGTCTGTAGAGTTTGTCGGCTTCTGTAAAATACATGACTACCAGGGGTCTTCACCCAGTTTTCTGCAAAGGAAACAACCTGTTCTTCAATCTGTTCGACAACGTGCATCTCAACAAGCTAGTGCAATCAAAGGACATGGACATGAACAAATCGAACGAAAGCTTGCGCATAATGCTTAACGCATCATGTTTTCTCAACATCTGCTTACACCGCCTTACGCCTGTGAAGAACCTGCTTGCGCAACACGTCGAGATGACATAGCCCTTTAGCATGTACACTGAGGTTACGTTGCGCAACCAGAACTGTGAAATCCAAAGCCGCCTTCTGGTGTGCGTCATTTTTGAGGGTAACCATTTCCGGGGGGGGGGATCCCAAAAAAAGACACCCTTATCGAACTTCCACAGCTGCTTCTAGAACTGGGCCCTATGTCCTTATTGGCGTCCATCTAATTCGGTCTAACCGTCTAACCCGTAGGAGTCCGATCCAAGCAAACTCGGTTGCTTGCGACACTCATGAATGCTCCCAATGCTCCCAAAACCTTCTCCTGGAGCTGTTGCGCAGCATGCGCAGCACTGCCGAGACATCCTCAGACTAGCAATGGGTTGCCTCTAAATTGGCATCGCTGTAAACGCAGCCAGTTGCCAAGAGCCATCAACTTCTGCACCTGTAACTGCCACCTGGTCACCTCTCTGCAGATTTCCCCGCAACGCCTTTCACATTGGATACCAAGACTGCGCCCGCTCAGTGGGCCACCTCGGACATGGCCGCAGCGGCCGACCTTGCGAACCGTGGCTTCGCACCTGATGGCTTCCAAAGATACTCTCTATTGTATCGCATTATATATATAATATATATATATATATGCATTATACTAGTATTGCATATACATATATTACATAATACATATGACTCATATGGTAGCCAAAAAGGGTATCTAGGATGCCAGAAAATTGGGGTACAAGCCTAGGTGCACCAGGGGTACATGACGGTACATGGCATTAGCTGCAACAATTCTTTTGCAGGGCAAGTAGGGCTCCTTTGGTCAGAAGTCTTAGCGAGGAGCATTGCTGGACATGTTACTTTGTCACCGCTCCTGAGTGAAGGGCAAAACCGTTCCTTTTGGCAACATCAATCCACAACCTGCAAACCAAAGTTTTGCGCGTGCTGAAACATGCGGCCAAGGTGCCAGGAGGTCAGCACTGCGGAAGTTGCTGAGCAGGAAGCACAGTTTCTATAGCGGCTTTGTCTCAGGATGTCTCGGGTACATTGTGTAGTCCGTGCGGTCACTACACCGAACTCAACAATCGCCGTAAATATTTGCCACCTTTGCATCATGTGCTCAAGAGTCGAGTAAATTCACAAATCCGGTGATGTGAATGTGATTCCTATGGTCTCTTGCTTTCCCTCTGAACTATCCAAAACAAAGCTCCATAGTTTGTGTGTTCTCTGCTTTGACGAGACTGCGAAGGCACTGCGAGCGTTGTCCAATCTGCACGAGTTCTGACACACACGCACATTTTCTGCAAGGCATACTCGTTCCAGAAAGAAACAAGCACTGGACAACTTGGGCACTTGTGCCTTGCACGCTTGCAGCTCATGAAGCTATCGCATCCACTGGGCCTAGAGCCAGGAAAAGCGTTGAGCTTCGAAGGGCCACTGCATGTCATCCCTATCCTCACAGGAACACCTCGATCACCTTGGTCGGTCTCAGGAAGGAGCCAAACCCTCCCTCAGTACTCATGCAGCTGCGAAGAAACGGGAGGACATCTTCGGGATAAAAGGCGTGTCATTGAGACAGTGATCGCAATGTGGCGACTTGATTCTGCACTCTGCCTCCCACTCCAGGTGGCCAATGCTGCCCAACCAACTGTCCCAGCAGGCTCTCAAAGAGTGTGAAGCGAGCACTTTTTGCCAGCCATCTACCTTGGGCAGCGCTGAGAAAATCCTGACACGATGTCGAAAATTGCATTTCACGCCGAATTCTGTCGCAAGCCCAGAAGGCGCTAGCCCCTCGGCCAGTCGGGGCTTGGTGGTGGCTTTGGGAACACATCAAGGCGGGACTTGTGCATGTTGGTGGCCTTTGTGTGGACCTTGCTGTGCTTGGCAGCATGGAAGTAGCACAGACTCCTAGACACAAGCATCTGAATTTGACCGCAAGCATCTGCTATTGAATGAAATCTGTCATGTTGTCCTGTCAAACCGAGTGGAAAGACATAAGGAACATCATGCCTTAAAGTGGTGCAATGATTGATCATAGCCCTTCGCTCAGGGCAACACCTCCAAGTGCCCGCAGGATAACATCCCGGCCGAAAGGCTCAGAGGGCGGACCGCGTGTCTGCCTGCGAAGCAGGCAGAAGCCGGCATGCTAGCTGCACAATGCGCAGGCCAATCAACACGTCATCCCAACTAACAACAAACACAAGCACCGCTGACATGGACAAAGGAAGTCACATGTGCGAAATCACAGCAGGGTCTGCCAAAGCGTACACACAAAATCGCACACCCGAGATTTCGGCGCGGCATACCGCGTGGGTAAATTTCAGGGCCAGGCTCGCTTCCGAAGCATCTGCAGCAGGGCGGAGGTGCCGGAGGAGGCCTGACGGAAACCGTGAAAGCTCCCACACTGACGGACGAAATCCACCAGTTGGGACGGATGAAAACCTACAAACGGCCTATGAATGGTTGATAAGCCAACCTACCACCTGCAGGATTTCGTCCATCTGAAGGTTTTCTTTTTGGGTCAGTTTGCTTGAACATGGATGCATGGCTCATTGCCAGTGCCATCTACTTTTCCGAAGGACACCTAGTCCCCCAAAGTGCCCGTGGCCGCAGGTCCCTAAATGATCATCCCTGCCCAATTCACTCCAACAAATCGGGTCTTTTGTGGGAATACAGCAAAACAGCGGGAGCCAAGTGTTGATCCCCTTTGCAATTGGAGGGATCTCTGAATTTGATGAACATTTCCTCATGTTTGCCATGGCAACAACATGCCCGAAGAAGTGGTGTTTGTCTTCAACTCCATATCCAGGGCTGGAAAGCATCCCTGCGAAGACCAAGTACCCATGCCAATGCGTCAACAGTCATATCACTCGTCGCAATGATGGCGCCAGGCGACCAACGGCAGTTCGATCGTTTCAGCAACGTGACTTCCGGACCCTCCCCTGTCCGCAGCTCTTCCTTTGGGCGTTGACACTACTCCCAAAGGCGCAAGCAGCCCATCTTAGAAGACAACAGCGCTGCAACTGCAGCTCGCCGTTGCTCTGTTGTTTTGCGGGGCCAAAAGGCACGGGCACAGTTGCCATGTTGATTGGCTTGACACTGTGCCAAAGCATGGTCTAAAAGGAAGCATTTTCAGGCTTCCCACAAACATTTTGAGGGCCTTCCGTTCTGCAAAAATGCCAAGTGTCGCTAAAATGGAAAACACACGCCAATTGATGAGAACTCACCATCTCTAGCCTTAATTGCGAGACACGCGCACCTGCCTGCTAAGACGTCCCCTTCTTCGCTCTGCGTTTGCTGAAAGGAAGCGTCCGGCCTCCAAGGCACCTTCCAAGTGCTTCAGAGTCACCGCTGGAACATCCTCAGACGTGCCCAGGCATCGAAATTCGGGGCCGGGAGAGGGGGGGTGGGGGGAGGAATCTCTTGAATCATTCGCCCAGGTTTCCCAAAGAGGAAGTTGTCCAACTCAAAGCGCTCTCAAGCTCGACCCGTCACGAGCTGGGTTCGACACTGCTGGGCCCACGCCCTTCAACTCCGGCAACTCTCTGAGGACCTGCCGGGCAAGATGTGGGCGGTTTCCCAAAATAAGGGTCCATTTCCTAACATGGTTGGCTTCCTTTTGGTTGCCCTATTAAATGCCAACCAAAAGGGGGTCCATCATTGTGTGAAAACCCTCATGTGGCTTTGCCCTCGCGGACATCTTTTGGAAGTGCATGGGTGGAAAGAAAGGCCAAGTGCACCTTCTCTAGGCGTGGGAAAGGTTCCTTGCCAAAGCCAGCAGCTTTCCTTCTACACAAGCGAACTTAGTGACTGGATACACACTGGACAGGAAACGCCGGCACTCTCAGCAATCACGTACGCCGAGATACCTTGGTGTCTTGCCTGAATCACCTGGCCTGTTACCCCGCATGGCGGGAAAGTCCAGTCAAATGCATCGGAAGTGACAAGCCATCAAACCAAGGTAGACGCCAGTCACTTACATGCTGCGCACTCTCCTCTTCGGCTCTCTGCAATCTTTAGGTGCCAGGTGCTTTGATCTGGCTTGGTCTCTAGAAATGTCATTCGCGCTCACTCTAGGCAACTTCAAAGTTGCCTGCCATGCCCGACTGCAACTGGCCTCATGATTTGACCAAAGTCACCCCCCAAGTGGGTCAAAGGAAAACACCCCAGAAACAGTCAAAGGGCCTTAGTGCTAGCACTCTGCAAGACTGAACGGTTGGGATTGGATAGTTTGCTGACGCCTTGAATGAGCTGCTTGAGCGCATCTACATTGCAAATTCACTTCTCATTTCTTGCCCGCCATCAGGCCAGCGATGTACCTGTGAGTTGGTGGGGGACTACATCACCCAACGTCGTCTGGCTTTCCCCAACAGCCAAGTAAGAACAGCTGCACCGATTTGAGACTGACAGGTTGTGCCCGACTTTGCTCTGGTGTCTGCAGCGAACGGTGCGTACTCCAACCAACTGATGTCAATTTTACCAAGTGTGCAAGAACGTGTGCATGGACGAAGGCATGGATGACCTACATGCATCCCATCCCATCCCATCCCAGCCCACCCCAGCCCAGCCCAGCCCAGCCCAGCCATGCATCAGTACATGATATGTTCATCTCCAAAATGTGTGTACAAGCCATACGTGCCGATCATGTGCGAACATGTGTTCCTCTCATGCCATCTTATTGCTATGTGCGCATTGCATTGCACTGCCTTGCCTTGCCTGAGCGCACTTGGCTGTCAAACACTGCTAGACTAAACAAAGAAACAGCGGCGAAGAATTGCAAACGGCGCTCCTTGACGGGGCTCAGGTGTCAAACAAGAAAGGTCAGGCAGCGCAACAAATGTGTGCGCTGACAAACAAACAAACAAACAAACAAACAAACAAACAAACAAACAAAAATGAGGCACAATATCACGAAAGTGACAATCAAGATCAGGGAATCTTCTGCCATGCACTTGCAAAGATGCGCACTCATCGCCGTGTTCTTTGCGCAGCGTGTCCATAAAGTCCTTCCACCAGCCCTCCTTTTCTGCCTCGCAGGCAATGAGACTTTCAATCAAAGCCGCTGACTCTCGGCTCCATCGGAAGGTCGGCCACATGTGGTGCCACCCGCAAAAAAGCAGGCCCACAAAATCAATGCTGGAATCTGACCTTGCATTCCTTCCCCCTTGGCCTCACGTGGCGCGCCACTGAGCTGGGTGTCGATGCTTTCATACTGCTGCTTTTCAGCTTTCCAAACCTTGACATCCCGGAACGATCACTTGCTCCTCCCTTGCCCTTCGTTGCACCACTGCTTCATGGACCAACATGTCAGGGTGGCTTTGTATCAAAATTAGGACCTCCAACACTATTTCTCCCTCTTTGCCTCCCTTTTACGTCCATCAACAGAGGTTGTCCAATTTTTGACGTGAAGGCTTCGCTGTCTGCGTCATCCATGAAGACGTCAGGCACTTCTTTCAAGCCCCACACTCTCAACTCCTTCACCGGGTGCGGCAGCTGGATCTGCTTCCCGGTGCGGTCGTCGGTAACCTCATGTCAACAGTCCAGATGACACCGTGCAAAACCCTCACCCAATTGGCAATTTGTCGCAAGTGTAAAGCATGGCTACAAGCAACTGACAATCAAAGATGGTTGTGGCCCAGACATTGGGCTGGTTCTATTAATCCCCTCCCCCCCCCCCCCCGCCGAAGGATGACCATCCTTCTTAACATCTCAAACAACCAAACCCCTGGCCACCTGAGCGGCGTTTCCCCCAAAAACCACGCCCCATGCCTGGTACTGGGACTGGAAGGCTGCCGGGGTCGGGAAAAGCTGTGGGTCCTGGCACCCCAAAATGGGTTGCCAATTCTTGTGTTTCTCCCTACGATTGTGGATGCTTTGAGCATGGCAAACCAATCAGTACCTGCACACCATGCGCAGCTGCCAACTATATCAGACACCTCCTTGCGTGCTAGTCACCAATGGAAGAAGTGGTCCCTCTCCCACTATTCCCATGTGTGTTTGCTCATTTGTTTGGTCAGGCAAGCCAATCGCTGCCAGTGCTGCATAGAGCTGCGAAACCACACCCAGCTGCAACATTCGCCTGGCTGCGTCCGACACGCTGCATACCATGCTACAAGCAGCTCCTGCTTTGCATCAGGGTGCTTCTCAGAACAGTGGTCCCCTAAAACAGTGGGTTTCCTTTTGGTTTCTTTAACCACCGAGCACAAGGGGGTCCACCACTTTGAGAAGTCTCTGTCTCTCACTTTCTTGTGTGCCTGCGCTGCTGCATCGAAAGCAGGTGTCTCATCAAGGGCACTGGCACGTGTCTGGCCCTTCTAAGGCGCGCCAAAATGAGGGACCTCCCTTCTGGATGGTTTCAAAGGGAAACCAAAACGGAGCCAACAACTTGAGCCCCAAACCTTTGCATCCTGATGGCTAATCCTCTTCAAGCCTGAGCCACCTTTTGTTGGAGACTTGCAACCATGGCATGTCGTCCAACAGAGACAAGTGATGCCTGAACTGCGCTTCGCAGGTCGGCTTCTGCAGCATTTGCTTCCAGGCCCTAGCAGCGACTCAAGCTGCTGATCTCCGTCCCTCTGCCCTGTCCCAGTTTTCCATATGGCCATGGGCCCATGGGACAAAATCCCGTACCCCCCGTGAACATCCCAATCCCCACTAAAATAGACTAAAATGGGTGGTGCACCTACCCTTAGTTTTGACCCACAGCCATATCCAGGAAGAGCGCCAGAGTGCAAATGAGCAAAAACCAAGGTTTTAAGCACAAGTTCCGACGGCACGAAGCATCCGCCATCCAGGTCTGCGGCTCGAACTTCATCCCTCTGTACCTGAACCCAAAGCACGTCCAAGACTCCGGTGGAAAAAACTCATCTGCATCTCACTGAAGTTGGTTCCCTTGTGTCCTCGCCTAAGACCAGGAAAGCTGACACATCCCATGTTTGTTAAGCTTTGAAGTTGGATGCGAACAAAAAATTATCTACACTCTTCCGCGCACGTCTCCAGCGCTTCCCTGGACACCTGCGCCAGACGCCACTCCGTCGGCGCCTGGCATGAGAGAGGCTCAATGAAATTGGGCGTGTGTTGAAACGCGGTATCAGTTGGGTCTGTATGTTTTAGGAGGAATCGGCCCCCCAAAATTGCAAGACGGGTTTCCTTTTGGTTTCCCCTACCATAAAAAAGGGGTACCCTCAAAAAACAACTCTCCAAGTAGGATGCCAATATAATATAGTCTTGTAAGTTGGCAGAGTGGGCTTGCAGAATATACCATGGCGCACTTGCTGCGATGTGTTTCCTCCAGCGACTGGCAGCGCTTGGATGCATTTGGAGAATGTGCCGTCCGCTGGCAATGCTTTTCATTCTGGCGTCACAGGTACTCCAAGGGATTGGTAGTTCAACTCAGCTGTCTTTGTGCGGCGTCCTAAGGGCGCAAGCAGCTTAGGCACACCGGACTATCCGAGTGATGGGGCAGACATCTGGAGATCTTGTGTGTCCTACTCCCACTGGCTCAAACAAACGCAGCTCCGAGCCAACACTGGCATATCATGATGCTCAACAGCCTACCAGCCAAGCACATGCGTCACGTGCATGCCACCAACCAACCAACCAACCAACCAACCAACCAACCAGCCAGCCAGCCAGCCAGCCAGCCAGCCAACCAACCAACCAAACCGACCGACCAACCGACCGCCAACCGGCCGACCGGTACATGAAGCAAGCAACCACTCGCCACTCTGCGTAACTTTGCATCGCAGGGGCCGAGAGGGAAACTTGAAACGTAGCAGCACATCCTCGCCGCTGCGACAGGGGTGCCTATATTTCCGCCTTAAACATCACCCCACCAAACAAATCTCACTTCAAATGGCCCAATCGTGAAGTCCAAACACTCACACTACCGTTTAAGGGGAAATGGGTGTGCCTTTTGTTTGCGGTCCCCCAAAACAACATGGTGGTGTTGCTGTTGGCTGCCCTTTGAAGCCAACCAAAAAGGGGCACCCTTAGAAAACGACACACCCAAGGATTCGCGACCCTGCGGGATCCGGGGAAAAAAATATAAATGCCTCAGCGAAGCAGTACTCAATGCAGTCGGCGGGAGAGAGGTCCTGGAGCACGTGGCAAGTGACACATCTCGCAGAATCCGTCAGGTTCTTCGGTTGATCGTGTATGCGGCTTTTGATCGGTCAGCCACGACAGTACCTACCCAAAAATCAAAAGTGCTTCACGCAACAAGTCGGGAGGTTACTTGGCCCAAGGATCACAAATGATTCGCTGCTTCACTACCATGCCGGCTCCGTATCAAATTTCACACTTTCCGTTTGGGGGACAGGAACACCCCGACATTCCCTGCATGTTTTGTCATCTTTCCTGCTCCTTGAAAGCTGTGCTTTGGCAGGCTGCAAGAACATGCAAACCTATTTTGGGTGTCCGGCTGACCAGGGAACCCTTCAGCTCAAGGTGGTGCCGTTGAGCGTGATTCGAAATCTTGGAACCCCCGAAGACCAAGAGTTTTTGGATACGCCTGCGGCATAAAACAACCTGCCAGCGTGCGGAAGCCGGCCGCCTCGAAAGTGATCTGACAGCTGCCGGTCACCAGCTGGGCACCTCCATCCTCCCAAGTTGCGCTGAAGTTTTCAGCTCCGGGGGCTGAAGGAAGCATGCGGAAGGATGTTGAAGGATGCTGAAGGATTAAGCTTCCGTCACACCCCCCATGTGGTCCAAACGGGATGGCCATGTAGCCTTGGCCAAGATCCCAATGCCATCGTGGTCGAAGTTCCTCCCTCAATGAATCACAATCCTATCACCACAAAACCATTTGCGTTCAAGACCCAATGACCTGTGCTTCTACCAAGATGGTTAAACAGGCTTGTGGAGTTCTGTGTATACAACATTCAAAAAGCAACATTAAATATGTATATATGTATAGACATGATATTCACACCCCTCCAAAACCCACTTTCCGGTTTGTGAGATGGAAGATAGCTTGTTTGAGACTCTGCTTCTTGAATCTTCCAGACTCTAGACCCCTAAGAAGCTTCAAGATTCAGGATTCTCAGCACTCTCATTTGAATCTCGAATCCAGCAGGGCCTCAAACTGCTTCAAAGCGCTTCGAAGCATCTGCAGATCTGGTGCTCAGACCACTCATTTTGAATATTCAATCCAGCAAGGGTTCTGAACTATTCTTTTCACAGCACGTCAACCCGGATCCACACGGCGGGAAACTGGACGATGCTGCGGCCTTCATTAAGGCCAGGAACTCCCGGTGGCCGCTGGGGCCGCGAGCCACCAGCGCAACAGCCTCTCCGCTTCGATGCTCAGCTTCCAAGGGTGAGTTGGATGGGTGGTTGGGGGTTTTGGATTTCCCATGTACCCCACAAGAACCAGAAGTTCAAATCCCACCAATCCAATAGACCAAAGAAGGGTTGGGACAAGTGAGCAGCACAAACGGCTCACTGGGCGGCCGCACATCGCCGGAAGCGCAGTCTGGAAATGCAGAGGCGAAGATCTGCGGTGCGTTTCAACGGCGAGTGAAACCCCTTCACTCCGGAGAAGTTCCCATGTGAGTGACACCGCACGTAACGTAAGCGGGGCAATGGTGAGTCAAGTCGGGTTTCTGACAGATTCCTCCCATCTTGAGGCTGGTCAAGCAGATTGTAGACTTGGAGTGTCTCTATTTGATTGGTCTCTCGTCTGCCCTTTGGAACTAGGCCAAAAGCTTGCTGCATTTGGCGACTGCTCACGAGCTTCCAGCCTGCAAACCAAAATCCCTTGCACCCTTGGCGATTTCACTGCGAGGCAGGCTTGCAAAGCAAAGGTGCCGCCTAGATGGGGCTGTAAAGCGGCTCACTAGAGCTCCCTGCAAAAAGAAAATGTAGATGTTGAGTCGCCTCAATAACTCCCTATGAATTATCAACATGCGGCTGAAGGCTCGAATTTCTGAAGGACAATATTGAGCAAAGCCGAGATCGCCGGTTTGCCAGAAACACATCCAAATACTATTGTGACACGTCCAATCAAGGCTTCGCATGCTGGACACCCCAGCCTTTCGTCGATCCTCCTCCAAGCTTCGGTGCGAGACCAAGGTCATTTCCTGCCAGCAAGGCCAGTCATGGACGGAAGGACAAATCACCATGCCAAAGTCTTTGAATCTGAGGGGTCAACTGCTGGAAATCACATCACCAATCCTGAAGGGAAGAAAAACTGTGGCATCACCTCCCAGCCAACTCGAGGTTCCACGCGCGCCCCCGCCTCATCATCCGGACTGAGCAGCTTCAGGCTTCGTATGGCCTGGCCCAGGTTCAACAGAGGCAGGAAGCACGGTCAATTTCTCCACGCACCCCTCCACCCATCCACCAACCCCACCCACCCATCCATCAACCCACCCCCATCCATCTATCCAGCCGGCCATCATACCTTGCAGCGTGAACCACAATTAGACGCCTCCGGCACGGACACGGCGGCCATGGAGCGCTGGGGAGGCTCTGGCTCGTCCTGGCTAAGAGCATCTCCCGTGCTCAGCTGGGTGCCCCTTGGGTTCGTTCAAAGGACAATCAATAAAAGGGGAAAAACGGAAACCACCGATTTCGGGATGTCCGCGCTTTGCACAAATGCTTAACACGCCACATCGGAAATAGTCCTCTGCCAGGCCTCCGACGCTGCAACACCTTGGTTCTTGGATGGTCAAACATTTTCGGGAACCCGGTTTCCTGTCCTTCGGAGTAAGAAAACTTTGAAAAAAATGAAAGGCAAAAGCACCATGCCTGACATGACTCACACACCTCAGAGCTGGACGGCCCCGTGGTTGAATACCTCATGCCAGAGGCCAGAGAACAGCCTCTTCCCACAACCTTCCCCCCCCCAATCGGACGACAAACTTTTGCCCTAGATCCAAACCTTCCAGTTCAACATGAACTGGTCATTTTTCCGTGCCTTATCGACTAGAGCAATCTGTTGGCCGACAAATCTGATGTGCAATGCACGCGAGCGAGCTCAGCCCAGGTGCGCGGAGCAGCGGGTTCCGCTGCCTCCGGGAGCTGAGGCCCCTGAAAACTGAAGTCTCTGAATGCCTTGCTCATAAGACTGATAATCCAATCGCCTGGACCTCTCAAACACAGGCAGCGGAAACGTCGCTGACTGAAAAAGCACTGCGACTGCAACAGGTAGCAAGAAGACTCCGCGCCTTTGCGCTGCAAAAAGAGTGGGATAGGGTGCAAAGCTGTGAGCCGAATGCGGGCGCAGCCATGCGCACGAGGAAGCCGCCGAACAAGGCAGCTGTTTCATGCTGTTTCTGTTGTCGGAAATTGCAGCAAAGCCGATCCAATGTTCAATCATGGAAACATGGAGGCCTACTCTCAGTGACTCACGCATGCGGCGCGTGCCTGCAGGAAGGCTTTCCGCACCAAGCGGTCCTACACGGTTTGTCTGCCGTGCCAGTCAAACAAAAGGCATGACTTTCGCACAAAAACAAACTTGCCCCTGAAATTGGCGACACTTAAAAAGTGACAAAAAAGTGTCAGAGTTTCTTGCGCAGCTGTGCATCATCACGACGCCTTTGCAATGGTAATGGGGGTTGCAGCATGCGCAGTCATGCAGCCCTCTTGGGTGCTGTCTGAGCGCCCGCGCCACGTCCGCCAAGGAAAATCCGTCCGTCTTCTCACCCATCACCTGAACAGGGGCGGCCTTTGGGAGTCTTGGGCCTCGCAGTTGAACACAAAACAGAGAGGTCTGAAGTCAGATTTTGAGAGGTGTGATCTTAGTCAGCACACCGTCAGTTCGCCCAGAGTCGGTCGCCTTTCTGAAAAAGAGCCTCATCCAGCATCGTGCCTGCAAATCGTCATCTGAAACTTCTGCCTTGTGCCCATCTGCTGCAGCCTGCGCCGAACAGTGACGTGTTCATAGGCCATGCTCGTCACGTTGTCCTCTTTGTGTAGCGGAACCCATCTAAGTTCGGGTTTCTAGCTAAGTGTCCTTAATGTACTGCATGCATCACTTTGTCCTCCAAGCATATCTTCCAAATGTTGCGTGTGTGTGTGTGTGTGTGTGTGTGTGTGTGTGTGTGTGGGTGTGGGTGTGGGTGTGGGTGTGGGTGTGGGTGTGGGTGTGGGTGTGGGTGTGGGTGTGTGTGGTGTGGTGTGGGTGTGGTGTGGGTGTGGGTGTGGGTGTGGGTGTGGGTGTGGGTGTGGGCGTGTGCGTGTGCGTGTGCGTGTGCGTGTGCGTGTGCGTGTGCGTGTGCGTGTGCGTGTGCGTGTGCGTGTGCG